ATGCGTACAGCTCTTCAGTATATGTGTGTGTTTTATTTTTTTTTTTTTTTTACACACAGACCTCTTTAACATGATTTAAATGTTTAATACCAAATGTCTGTATGTAAGTGGTTAATAAAACTTATTTGAGAGCTATAATGTAAACGGGATATATCCTTAAAGTATAAGCAAACATTCTTTCTTGAGGGAAAATCTTGAATTCATATTTATTTTAATTCGTTGGATTGTTGATAGGTTGTTTGAGCCTTTTCAAGTCAAAACTGAGAGCAACGTTGCATAAATGCATAGTTCATTTCGATATGCCTGCCTTCGCGGTAACATTAACAAATCTTGAAGCTTTGACAACTTTTTGATGCCTCTTCAATTAATTATGAGATGTGATGTTTAGCGACATCTTTTCAAACTAACTTCATAGCATTCTAAACTTTCAAAAGCACAAACGAATAGATGATTGCGAATCTGGTGCGTAATGCGCACTATATGACTGACCTGTAAATTTTTCTGAATTTCTCCCAGATGCGTACAGTGTAAGTTATCGGGCCAGCAAATCATGCTCGGCCTGTTGAAACCCACCAGGCAGAGTTTTTCCAAGTACTTACATCCAACCATTCCATTTGTGGACGATCACTTTTGAACAGTCTACAATTTTTTGTCATTTCAATTTATATCGTTCAACGCATTCAGTCAATTGCCGACTTTGTCGCTAAACACTCTTCGTATTATATTTTCCCAATATAATTACCACCATAAGCTATTCATCCGCTCTCCCTTGCTCAAACATATTAGAAATTGCTCGAGTTCGTTAAGAGGAGAGTTATACAAATTTTTCTGGCATCATGACTGATCATTTTCTAATCTTGTTACGATCATTTTCATACGCCCTGTAGGTACCTTAGCATAACAAAGTATGTGGAGGTAGAAGATGTTTTTGGAGCTTTCGTCATCTTTCATTTTAGGCTTGTTTAAGATTAGGACATATTCTGCTTATATTTTAAATGGTGACATAAGAAAAAAAACAAATATTAATTTTTAAGTATCCACACTTCCCTTTCACAAAAAAGTTTTTAAATATCACAATTTCGTGAGTGGAAATAAGAATGTACTCGTTTGTAGAGTATAATATCTTACGCATAAGTGAAATCTCAGTATCTAACACTAAAAGAAAGCTGCTAGCTCATGATGACGTTTCGGTTTTTTGACTTTTCGAAAATTGAAGAGATGCGCCTTTAAATTAAGTTTTATGATAAAAACTTTGATGGTAATAGTAATTGCATATTATAATGATTGGAGATGTGTTCTTAGATGGATAATTAAATTAATATGTGTGCACTATGCAACAGGAGATGTCAAAATGGAGATCTTCTGATCTATGATGTTAAGTTAAGCAAAGCAGTCACTCCGCGAAGACGCTCTCTGATTTCCAATAAAAATTTGTTCAGGGACGATGAACTAAAACTAATAAATAAAACCAGCGAATTGCTGCTTCATTGATCATTGATTGCAACGAATGATAATTTATTCAATTTTCGTACTTTTATACTTATTTTAAATCAGCGCAAACGAATAAAAATTAAATTATTAATAATAAATTGTGTATATATTGTCCCCATTCCTTTTAGTTTGAATTTTGTCTATGCTCAATTTTATTTTTGACGCGCTTTATATATAAAATATATAAACATCTTGTCAAGTTGGTTATTCAGATGTGCTATATTCGTTTCTATTTCTCTTATATATATATATATAAAATTTCCTTAGCAGCATTTCAAAGTGCAATTAACATCGGGATAACAAAACGAAACGAATCGACTTAACGTTGCCTGTATACTGCTAATATCAGAGTAGAATAATATGTGCGTGCATTTAATACGAAAAAAAAAATGGGGAAATGGTTATATATTATGACATTTCATATAATGGTAATATATATATATATATATATATATGTATGCAAGAGTAAATAATTTATAGGTAAACTTTCCCATTAGTTAGTCCGCATAATTTATTTAATCTTATGCTGGCAATCAGAACTATGATCACATAAATAGTAATAATCGTTATGTAATTATCAAACCTGTATATGCCGTTAAAGTTTTTCTTTAAACTCCAGTTAGGTTCAACCATGCATTGCGACGGATACAGCAATGAGCAAACAGTTAAACTTACTTATATTTTTATAAGATATCATTTAAAAAATTTAATAATCTCTCCAACAAAATTATCAATTTGGCAGGAGTGTATATGTAACGTATTGCATGACGGTAACCCGATAAGGACGAAGGTGATGGCAACGCTAAAATAATGAAGTATCGCTTTATCTCTCTCTTGTTTGATCTTTGCTTATGGTCACAAGTGTGCTAACGCCATCTCTTTGCCGATACAAATATAGATTAAAAATTAAGATAAAAATTGAGCTTATACAACACAAATTAAATTAATAAAATAAAATTAAAATAAATTAAATCGGCATTATTCCAGAATACCACAAGCTGTTATTAAGCCTTGCTGGTAATCATCACTTGCATTTTTCGAAATAAAGTAGTTTTCAATCAATTCAGGTAATTAAAACTTTTGTTTTTTTTTTATCTCGTATATATACGTTTGCATTTTTCACACTAGTTGAACATAGTTGATAGCGACTACTTTTTAAGGCGTCAGCGTTTTGATAACGAAGAAAGAACAATTCAGAGAAGGCGTTTAAATGAACTGTGCCTCAAGTGAAACTTTGGGTAACTTAAAAATTGAATAAGTTTATTACTCAGCTAAATTGGTTCTCCTTGCTAGCAATGCTTTTCTATGGAAATCACATCCTTCGAATGCGGGTTCTGCATCATATAGTGCAGGTATGTATTTAACTCCGCTATTTCAAAGAGAAACTCTAAGTAGTTCTGTAGGATGCTTAAACAAAATTTACCGTCACGTAAGGGCTCGCCTTTCTTTAGAACCCTTATACATGGTGAGCTGTAAGAAAAAGACGTACGTAATCCAGCTTTCCTACAATGTCTTTTTGTGCCAAATTGTTACTATGGACCAATTTATGGCACAAGAAGAATAAAAATTAAAGTCGAAAAAGTAGTTCGATGGAAATCCATGGTCAAAGAACGTTAATGCACCGAATTTCATCAAAATATCTCAAAAATTGAGTTTTGTAGAACGAACACAAGATTAGACATTAAACCGAGAGGCAAACAGACGCCCTCACCAGTTTGTGCGATTTTGAAAATGATTCTACATCGATAGATATAATAATGCGTCTGTCTCAAGCCCTTCCAGGTGGTACGAACATAAGTTCGCACAAACCTGTCATACGCTGCACCACAAGCCATACAGAGTATAATGATTCACTCGGAATAGAGTAACATATCAAAGGATTAAATTTAAGCCGAAAATTTTCATTACTTTACTTATATAACGTAAGTATAAGTAACATAAGTAAGGTAACGTCTACGAAATTCTCATTTATTTATATATCTAACTTAAAACGTCCAAGTTTCGTCTTTTTTTTTTTTTTACGCAATACTTGTAAAATTTGTTAACTCATTAAAATGTAATAAAACTAAATACTGGAATGGTCTAAAAACTTTCTGCTTATGTTCAACGAAAATTCGTTATTCAAAGTCATAAACAGCTCTACTCTTTTCGCTTGTTTTTTTGGCAATATAGCAACCTTAAAAAAGAGAAAACTTCGAATGAGAAAAACATCAAAGCGAAAGTTAAAATAAATATTAATTTAACAAGACTTTGAAAAGTAAGAAACTTGTAACGAAAAAAAAAAGGCAAAAAAAAAAAATATTAACAACGAATAGCATAACGAAAACAATGAAAAAATGCCAGAAAAATCAAAATTAAATTCTTGGAGGCTTTTACATGTTACGAATACAAAGCAGTTTTCGTTCCGTTTTTTTTTTTTTTTTTTTTTGTTTTGTTTCCTTTTATTTTCCTTTTCACATGGACCACGATTTTCACTCTCTTGCGCTGTCATGATTTTAGAATTTTACCAGCAGTCTTGCAAGTATATTTTTTCGTGCAATTGATATCATACGATATCGACAACAACATTATACCCCCAGATCAATGGTATCGGTACGTTGTCGTTATTTTGAAAATTTTCCACTTACTTGGTAATGTTCATGTACTGCGAGTGCACATGTACGGCAAAGTTATACATCCACACGCATGTATTATGATTAGACACAATTTGGGCATTATTACAAGTTAGTAGTTAAAGGCTGATGAACAGAACACAGAGCAGTCGTAACTGCAAAACGAAAAGAACAACAAAAAAATCACAACAAAATCATAGTCATCATTACTGATGGCATCGATATCTACACAAGAGGGTACTAGGAGGCGATCGGCTTTATTCTTTGTACTTACATTCTGGCATTTTTTCAGCACTCTGTGTGTGCGTGAATTGAATTTTTAAATACTTGAAATTCTTTTTCACTCATCCATTTCATTCTAAAACTGCTACCAACATTTTTAGCTTCTCAATTGCTGCTGTTCGAATCAAAACAAATAGAGAATTTTACTTATTTTTTGCACTCATCCTCATATCGTTCTATTATTTCCTCTTACTCCATTTCGAACCATCCTCCATTGCAATCATTCATCTACTTGGCCAGTGAAAGTTTGCTTTCAAATTGTTTATACACAAAAATTTGTAAGCTTGTATGCGAATATATATATGCTGTGAGTAAGTGTGAGAGTTTCGTCTATCATATATCAAAACAAGTCAGTATTTGTACTGTACTGAACTGTAGTGGAAAAAACATTTACATTAGGTCCCTTGCATCTAATACATCAGAAGTGAATGCGTAAGTGTGCGCTTCCTGATGTTTTGTTTTCAAATGGTTTTGTGATTTGATTTGGTTTTGCTTTTTGGTTCTATTTGGTTTTGATTTCATTCTTACTTACTTACATATTATACACATCTATATGTACAGCTAGCTGTCTGTCTGTTAAAAATATTCGTTACAGTTTGTGTTTAATGGCTGTATTTGGTATATCTATGTGCTTTCATATTATGGCCATTGCTTCATTCACTCTGAACGCAACTACTCTTTCTCGTATTTTAACACGTATTCCGAATTTTAATCACGTTCCGGAAGTTTATGCCATTAAAATTAAGCTCATATAGTTTTTTATCGGATACATCTCCATACAATCCATGCTATTATTGTTGTTATTGCATTTGCCACTCTTCTCTCTCGTTCGTTGTACATATTTGATCAATAGCTTTCGGAAAATTTATTCCATAGAACTTAATCGAAATAGTTAAAGTCATTTCAACATTCACCAAAAGCACTGAAAAAAAAAAAAATATATAACACAAAGCTCAAATCAATATCTAGATGTTTGCAGAGTATTTATAATAAAATTTCATAAAAACTTTTTACAAAATTTTAAGTATTACTTTTTTGTTTAGAATTGTACAGAAAGAGGTTTCCGTTGGTTTCATTATGAGAAAAATAGAAATATTATTACAATATATTTAGAATGAAAAGAAAAATATTCTAGGATTAAAGTGGGATGACTAAGACTAACGGCTCTTTTTTGGACAAGATTGATCAGATGGTCGATCTAGTCGCTCTAACAAAATGAAATATTTAATTAGGATTGCATTCCCCGGGTGCTTATGAAATGCCCATTGGATTAGAATAGAAATTATCATGCTTACGACAGGTATCAAACTTGAATTGTGTGATCGTCAATATTGACACCTAAATTCGGTATATGGGAACGTGATAACGGTGTTTGCATGTGCAACGACCGCAAAATGAAAAGACTGACGAAAGCAGCTGTTGGTTCTTGCATATACTTTGTTCGTTTTTTCACTTGAAAAAGGCATTCATTAATTGAGAAAAATTTAGTACAATATACGTTAAACAAAATATTTTCTATCATTTTCTATAACTTTCTCCTATCTTTCTTGCGATATGGCCCAAATACCAACTTTCGCGTTCCTTCAGCACTTCAAAACCGCAACCCCGTCAAGCTGTGCTGCATCGATTTGAAGAAGGGATAATCAGAAGTCGCCATGTCTGATGACTACACTGGGTGGAGCAGAATTTGACTTGCAACAGTGCAACATTCACTACTCTTGCAACGCGTGGCAGCGTGTGGTTATCATGCAAGAAAATAACTTTGCGTCTTTTAGCCGCTATTGTTGGTGTTTTTGCAACAACACATCGTTCAATTGGGTCAATTGACATTGGTAGACAACTGCAGTAAGAGTTTTATTCGATTTTAACAGCACGAAGTACACTACACCTTGCATATCCGACCATATCCGCAGCAAAACCTTATGGCTATGAATATTCCGCTTCGGTATCGATGTAGATGGCTCGCTTGTACTGATTGATGACTTTTTGTGCTTGGGATTATCGTAGCAGACCTACTTATCATCGCCAGCCATTATCCGCCGCTCTCTTCCTTTTTTTGCCTGGCCAGCAATGTAATGTCGATGATGAAACGGTTCGAAATGACATTTTTAATGAATTCATATGGTAACCATTTTCCGTGCTTTTACATCTTTCTCATCGAATGTAAACCTCTAGAAACAGTTGATTCATCACATGCTAAGCTGTACAAAAGTTCTTTGGAAGGTTGATCTGGGTTTTCATTCAATAAGTTTTGTTTCTTGCTTTCGACCTTTTTTGGTCCTCCAAGTCTTTCTTTGTCGTTGATATCAAAATCACCGCCTTTAAACCGTTAAAACCAAAGCAGACAAAGGGATACGATGGATCAGCATTGCTGTAAGCTTCCAAAAGTGTTGATGGGTTTCGATAGCAGATTTCTTCTTTTATTTTATGTACAGAAATGTCAAAATCATCAAATTTAATACTTGTGCACATTGATACTCCGCATTACTTTATAGACAGAGTGGCAAACATTTCTAGAACGATTCAGACTTGATACTAATCAATAATATATAGATAGAGTTTATATGGTCTGTAAAGCTTCCTGCTAAATGGTGTAAGCGTTTCGACAAGATGATGAATATACCTCTCATCCTTCGGTAATGGTAATATAAAAAGCACGCATATTGTAAAGTGCCTTTCATCAAGAGTGACTCTTTTTGGAATTTGAAAAATAAAATACAACATATCAAAGCTAGTAGTGCTTTATATTAAAGCTTACATGTAGCGATCCACCATGACTACGAACACGCTGACGCACAAAATGGCTCCAGTTCTAAGTTGCACCATTGTTAAGATGATCCGCATCTTCTTCGGCAAATCGAGCTTAGCATTAGCTATGTGCGTTAGAACACTCGTGGACTTCTCCCGTTTCAATCACGTCAGTTTTACCTATTGACGAAGCTGCTAAGCTGCTCGTCTGAGAAGTTGACTTTACCATTGCCAGTTTGATAACATTTTTTATTGGCTTCTAAACGCGTTTCGAAAGTTACTCTTCTTAAGGAGCAATCTCTACACATAGAACAATCAAGTCTGAACACGTTTGATAAGACCTAGAAGTGAAATGATTTTTAAATTTCGTCCTTTATTACATTGCTTGTAATGTATAAAATTTTTCTTTTATTATTTTACATTAGTATTCTAATTAAACTATTTCTAAAAGTACTTACAGTAATTATGATCTAGTATGCTAAGAAACTTTTGTTTATAAATGCTTTCAAGCAAATAACGCAGCATAATCATTAATATAAAATATTAATTAAGTATCGTACGTAATAGTAAACGTAGGTATGCTGCATTACATTAATTATAATAAATAGTTTCGTTGTTGTTCATAAACATAGCATTACATACAGTTCAGCACACTCACACACATAAGACGAATTCATATATCGCGGTGGAAAAATTTTGACTATTTTCGTATGGCATTGAATAGCACAATGGGACTCAATACACGTCTTGATAAATTTTTATACATTTCCCTTTCTCCCTTTTGTGAAAAAAAAAAAACGTGTGCTATTGAACTAACAATTGCTGTCAATGCTTGGTTATTAAAAAAAATTTTTTTAAATTTAACAAGTAAGTCAATCGCTTTGAACTGCGAATATCCCATGTATTCGTATAATCTACAACAGAGATTCACATTAGACGGAGCGAGTCTACCGTATTGTAGGGCAGTCTACTGTATAATAGTGCTGTTTACTTTCGCTAGGGTATACTGCTTTGGAGGAAATGCAAACTAGTTGAGCAGAACGGATTTGGTCGTAAAGAATTGAGAAGTAGTGATAGCCGAGAGCATAGAGCAGGCCGTGTCAGTTGGTTTCTGCCAACGTATATATCTTGTGAAGGAATAGTTTTGATGGGCTAAAGCACGATTCAAAGGCAAGACCAAATGCTAAAGGCTTCTTTTTTTGTGGGAGCCTACAAAAAGTAATACCTCTGTGAATGACTAGAAAATCTACGCCCAAAAGTCTTGGTTGCTAAATGGGCCTCGCGGAGGAGCATCCCGTAAAATCGCGACAGCTATATATAATGAGGTGAAGATAAGGCTCGAACATTCCCCGGAGCGGGTTTTCCTGCCCTTAAATTGATCTGTCACTCCATTCGTAAGTGGGGTACATACCTTATGGGAACTATCTCACTTATTTGTGGGCGCCAGTTCAGTGGACATCGTGAGGTTAAGCCGCCCAAGTAGGCATTCACGTTGAGCCACTCTCGCAGCTGTTAAATGGTTTTATTTTCTTGTATTATCGACTAAATATTCGTAAATTTCATAGCTGCCATCAAAAGGTGAGAGTATATCAACATATTGCGCTCCTATGCTTCCAAACGTCAACGTGTGCCAATATATTCTCGATTGCGTACATATTCTGCGTCGAAACAGTAACGACTAACAACATAGAATTTTGCAATAAGTTGATAAATATCAAAAATTTGCCTTAACGCCCAAATAATTTTATTCTTAAGTTATCCCGAAACTATAAAATAAAACATAAAGGGCATAAATAAAAAATTCATATTCCATATTTGGTGAAGCTAAGAATATTTTCCGTGCATTTTTATAACGTACATTAAAGTTTTTCTCAATTAATTTGCCTTCTTATTTTCTGAATGAGCCAATAATTAATGCACCTGACCGCACACAGAGCAACGCAGCACTTTAATTCGCATTTAAACTAATGCCAATTACTGTGCAATTAATATGTAAAAGAGTTTGAAAAAAAGGAAAAAAAAGACGAGTCATTTAAATGAATGACTCTGCAATGAAACCAAGAAGAACTGGCCAATAAATCTACTAATAACCACACGAATGTGGTTCTCTTTGTTTCTCTCTCTCTCTCTCTCTCTCTCTCTCTCTATCTCTCTCTCTCTCTCTCTCTCTCTCTCTGTTTTTTAGTATTTTTTCAAGTCTTACATTTTATGCAGACAAAGTATAAACACCTGGAGGACCTGTTTTTTTTATAAAAACGAAACCAATTAAAGAAAAAATATTATTGTGATATGACTTAAAGAAAATTTTTTAACAATTGACAAAAATATCTAAATCTCATACTCTTTACAAAAACAAATAAAACAAAAAATTCCAACATAAATGAAAGCATTATACTATCTTTTGTTATTAAATTCATATAAAGTTTCTGCCTTTTCCATTTTTTTTATTAAAATCTCATTAACATGAATTCCTTTTGTCATCATTTTCCTTTTCATTGGAAGCAAATGAATGAACTCGGAGCTACTATCAATAGTAGTTTCTTTCAATAGAATTCCATTTATAGATGACTGGTGGAGTTTGCTAACAACATTTCTTCAGTCGTATGGTGCAACAATGTTTGTTATGTTGATAAGCAATCCAGTTTGACTGGCACACTTCATAATTTCTTGTCTTTATTATGGATTTTCATTAATTTAATTTATTTCATCTTTCTTGCACATTGGTGGCGCAGAAAACCATAGAAATTAACTTGAATTATTATAATTTTCAGAAAAGAGAAAAATTATATTCATAGGAAAGGAACGAACGTTTGATTCACCAGCGAAGGACAAAGTTTTACTACTCATACTCATACAGCTTGCATAAATATGTTGAATAATATAAATATTGACTCAATTTCTTCGTCTTCTTCCTTTTCTTCTGACTCTTCCTCTTGTCCTTACTTATTAAATAACAGATAATTTTCCGTATCAAAGTGAACGATCTATCACTCCGTCGCCGTTTCTTAAAACTCTTATCATCAAAAGTATAAAGCTTGTATGTAATATATGAGATGGTTGACTGATGTCTATGGCTTAATTTGAACTTAGGGTTCATCACCTCATAGGTACTAAGGAACGTCGAAAAAAGATTTATGATATATGTTAATCAATAAGCGATGCCTTCTAGCAGATATCATTCCGAGGTCTGGTTTGCGGCGACCACCTTTTGAATGTACGATCAATACATGGGGCCGGAACTCTCTTTCAATGATACATTCTAAAGCGCAGGAAGTCAGATCTAAACCGCACTCAATCGAACAATGAACAACCGTAAAGCATTAAATTCAAAATCAGGAATGATTCAAACAAACCAACGGTGCGGTGCGGCTCTTTGAAAGCCGAGAACCTAAAAAAATCGTTAGTTATACCGATCTCGCCACTTTCTTTGAAAATTTCTCGGCACGAAACTTCTGAAAATATCCGCGTTTATACTATAGCATAAAAGGACCATCACAAGATATGCACAGCATATGCACAGGAATCTAAACTTAACTTGTTAAAAAGTGTTGCTAAGCCGACCTTTTTCTACAAATCTTTTGTGACGAAAAGCATTTGCCAACAAGACGCAATGGCACGTTTCCATAGAATCTTATACATAATTCTTTGCGACAGGTAGAAAAGCCACTTTTACGCACTATGTAAGAAATCCGACTGCCGGATTACGTTGAAAGATGTGAGATAAAAGCCTTCCAGTTGCATATAAAGGATGCCATGACAGAATGATTCCAATAGCAACAATCTGATGCACGCGCCAACATAATAAAACTAAATAACTTATTTCCGCTACATTTTCCATCCTTCTACCGTGCAGTGCAAAATAGATTTTGTTTACTTTATCAAAAATAAATAAAAAATTGGTTTATTTTTATCAAAATGTACGCACGTGTACAATTATATACAATAGGACACAAGCCATACACAAAAGCCCGAAATTTCATTTACTTGAAACCATAAATAGATATATATATATATATATACGCGCGCGTACATATGCATATATGTATAACAGCTTATGAACGATAACTAAAAATTAACTTAAATAATTTTATGCATTTAAGTACATGCGCATTCAATGGCTATTTCACTACGGAAAAATATACAAAGTGAAATATTATATAATACATAGAAAAAAGTTGCCACATTTTTTAGCTAATCTTCCCCACGTTAATGACAACATATATAATTTTCACGATCGTTGATATTAAAATGCGTATAATTACGTTGCCGATTAGCTATATCGATAGCTCGATGTATTTCCAATAGAACCGTTTCCATGCTGCGCTTGATCTTAATAAATGTATAATTTATTCGAACACTGTTCCCCATTAGTTCGCTGGCACTACGACCCGCAAGACTTGGATGATTTACTCGGCGATAGGATTTCAACGATATTGATGAAGGGCTAGAAGGAAGAGACGTTTCCTCTATATTTTTTATTGGCGTTTCTTTTTTCAATTTGCATTGATACTGATTCCATATATTAGCTATGTAGTTGTTGTAATTTTTCAAAAAGTAATCCACGTTATAGCGTATATTTAAACGTCGCACGATCTCAATTGTATCTTGTAGAGTGGTCTCTAATAGTTGACAGTTTCTTAAAGCGGTTTCTAAGACTTTGGTTTCTTCCATTTTTTTTATATATCAATTCCACTTTACTTCGCTCGTCAGCAGTTTGAACAAAAAAAAACCATTGATTTAATTTTTCTTGTTATTTCTGTCTCTATCTATCTCTCGCTCTCTCTGTCTCTCTCTCTCTCTCTCTTTCTATTTAAAGCAGTTTTGATTTTTTTATTTCTTGGTTCTCTTGCGTCGAGTAAGCACCGCGGTGTTGTGGTTACTGACGTTGTTATAAATATTGCAAATTTTACTTTAGCGGGCCATTTTTTTTTTTTATACTTTTTTTATAAAATTTCTGAATATTTTTCCATCTTTTGTTTATTTTTTGATTTAATTTTTAAAAACTTTGCTTCTTTTTTCTACTATTTTTTGAAATATTTAACAAAACATTCTTTAATTTAAAAAAAAAAAATTTGTTCTTTGTTTTTCTTTACCTGTCATAAGGCACAGTCATAACGTAATATGCTTTTCTACATTGATATCGTAATAAAATATTTGCTAAGAAATTGTGATTTAATACATTGAGTAAAGGTTTTCAGATAAGAGAAAACGGTAATTTCTTCACAGCGTTGTTTTGTGTGTGTGTGTGTGTGTGTATATGTGCGATGTATTAACATCACAGTTTTGAAAAAATAAATGCTTTAACGTTAGAGGAGCTCGAAGTTGGCATTGGAGATCATGCCAACTAAATACCGTTGCTTTAAACGGGTCGGGACATTTTTGAATAAAAACACTATGAACCCTGTAGTTTTTTATGTAATAGAATTAAATGGGCAATGATCGAAAAAGTGATGAGATTCATTCTGTTTTCAATTCTATTCACCCTTGGACCAAATCATGTCGGCGCACCGAATTTCGTCAGAATATCTCAAAAATTTAAGGGGCAGGTTGAACACCGGCAGACCAGCCCAAATCGATACTAAAAGTGATTCGGACCCGATGGATATATTAGAAGATGGGTCCATGTCAATACCTCCTCTGTGGGCATGCGTACAAATTTTAATATGATCACCTTCATGTTCGCACCTATAGGGAGATCCCTTGGGTAACTGAAAACAAAAAATATTGTTATTCTACCGCTGAATGTAAAATTATTTGTCTTTAGATTTTTTATAAAATTGTGTACCAATTAGTTGCATGCAACTTTCGTGAATCTTGAAGGAGTCAAATATCTGCAAAGAATTTTCTTTGCCTTTAGTTCCGCAGCGATCGTTGAAGACGGAAACAAGTACATGTACAAAAAGTATAACTTTTTTTTAAAATCCTGTAATAAAATGACAGCATCCATCTCGTCCGATGATTTTATTTGTCATTGCATAATTTTCATTTGGTTTCCGATGGTAACAACAAAGAAAATTTGCCGTATTTGTCTAAACGTTGGATTAAAAAGTTTGCTGCAGCTTGAAGCGAACGCAAACTTAAATATGCAAGAACCCTTGGATGTAAATGATCAATTATACAATAAAAGATACTTACACGAAATTGGAAAGGCAAAAGTATTCGTCGATTCATTTCATATAGATCCATTTCTTTGCAAAATCGCTACCAGAAATGAAAAATTAATATTCTTTGATGAGACGGTAATATGGACTCCTCAACCTACTTTATCAAGACGACATTGGCATCAAATAAGAGGCAGATTGAAAATTTCTTATTTGTTAATTGGTGATCGCGGCCTAAGGCAATAACTCACAAAACGTGTGCCTTATTGTCAAATTGTAGTATAATGAGCGATTTGTTTACACTGTTATTATTTCCTCTTTCATTTCCTCTGAAAATATTTTAACTAATTTTCAGCAGTTAACCCAAAAACATTATATATTATAAGATGGAACATTTCGCTGAAAACATTTACGGAATAAAGTCAAAAGATGCTAGACGAAGGTATGCAATGTAGATACGTTATCGCGTCATCACGCAGCTAATTAGTAAAAAAAATATGTTCAAAAATTACAATTGTTAGAAAGTCGATTCATATAATATATAACAGATATTTGATAAGATAACAAATACAATAGTGTTTGTAGCTAATATTATCTGCTTAGCATTTGTGGTGGATTTTCTGAATTGCCAAGGAAGACACCACTTGTGATACGGGGTGTATTAAGTTTTTGCGGACGTATGTAACAAGCAAAACGGCCTGAGATAGATCCGCTTTCTATTATATAGATTCATTCAAAATCACTTCTTGAATTGATTTAAGTTTGTCTGTCTGGCTGTGTATCTGATGTTTAACTTTCAATATTTTATGATGAAAATCGGTCCACAATAGCAGCTTAGCAAAAAAATTCACGATAGGAAACTTGGATCATATAGGTCTATTTGCTAAACTCTAGCATATATGAGGATTATCATGAAATGCAAGCCCTCGTATGGAGACAAAGTTTAGTTTCTAGTTCTTTTTAATGAAAATTGAAAAATACACAAAATTTTTAGGGAGCAAATTAAGTTTACTAAATTTCGATCTTGCCATGTGATGTTTTGGGAATCCTCCAATATGCCAACTTTCATCAAAATTATGGCTTTCTAGGATATAATGTATAGTTCTTGTATTATTACCAAAACGAATGAATAATTATACCAGACGAGGTAGTATAAGGTATCCAATAATCGGGCTTGCCCGAAAAACGTTTATGTACTTCTTCTACATAATTTCATCAGCTTATGAGAGATCTAGTTTAGAACCAATTTGGGCTTATATGATTCAATTTTTGTAAGCTTATCTATTATTATCCGGCACAGAAAGGGGAGGATATGGTTATAATATGGTTTGTTAATATTATTTTAGCGAGTATGTGATTAAAAAAAAATTCGATTAACAACAAATATACGTTTGTCCTGAATATATTTCTAGCCTCAGTCTCCCGCGCTGGCTCCAGTTTTATTTTCATTGAATAGTTAATCAAAAACAAAAAAAAAAAAAAAACGTTAATTAACTACAATTACACAACTAATTAAGTACTGTTTTTAATTAACTTGTGGCACTTTGTAGCTCGTAAATATGCATATAAACTTATCTATATACATAAACGCATACATTCATAAGTACTTACTTATTACGTTGTGCATGCATGTGTATTTGCTTTAAAGCAATGTTAGTATTTCATTTGCTGTACAACAAACAAACACACACACATACACACATTGGCAACAATAGCATACATATTTATGCATATTCAAGCGCATTCATTAACACATCAAAGCTTAAAATTTCATACAGAAATGTAAATAATGTTTATAACCAAGAGATCCTTTTGTAATTGGCAATGAATTTTATAGTATGGGCTTGCAGATATAAATACAATAACATATATTTTTACATCATTGAAATTATAAATTGAAAATATTTCTCCGAAATTTTTACAAAAATTTACATTACTTTGGGGGAATTTCCTAAACTAAATCGCCGAAAATTTATAGAAAAGCGCAAATAATATATATATATATATATATATATATATATATATAGCACATTCTATAATATAGTATAATATAATATATATATAATCTATAATATAATATAATATATATTATATAAATATATGTGGATTTACAACTACACTTACGGATATTTGTAAGTATATCCATAAAATATGTAAATAAATAAAATATAATCTCGGGGAGACCTGACAGCCTAACTCCTTGCTGTAGCATAAGAAACTGTACACTTTTAAGCAAATTCTTATGAATGCCTTGTGCTTTTGGCGGGTTTCAGATATAAGTAACAAGTTAATATGAAATTCAATATTGCAATATTTATAGTATATTATTGCAAGCGCTCTGTTATATTTACCGCATGAGTAAAGGAGTGGACAAGATTTGCGACCACATAGTCGTTTCTCGTGGATTCAAATCTCAAATGGGGCGGAGTTTACTTGGGTCGTAGCTACAGTGAGTGCTTAGTCGGTAAAGGTATAAAACTTGTCGTTTGGACACATAGGCACAAGTAGGTTTTTTTTCGTCGCTTAGATAAGCACCGACAATGTCCAGCTAATTCATCTGTATTTGCATCACCGTTGACATGGCCGTTAGCAATCTTATCGAGCCGAGTTCGACTAACGGTGCGTCGTAGTGTATTTAAACACTCTCTTTGACATCTTTGGCGGTTAGGTCGCGTTCCATTCAATCGATCAGTCGTGGCACTTCGGTACCTTTTCGCTTTTAATTATATCATAAGAGGCCGCATAAAAGATGTTTCATCGTCGGCTTTTTTCTTAAGCCGTGTGTGTTCTTGATCTGCGTAAAATTTCAAATCGATTATCCATGCCCAGGTTTCCATCCCTTCGTGTATTTATCCCCTATATAATTCATTAGAATGCACGCGTTTACGAAAAATGCAGAAAATCACGTAAGCACTGTAAGCAATAACAAACTAGGAGTGCATACCTATATTTCGCAAAACCAGCAGCTCTAATTAATATTTTTTATTTTACATTTTTACGAACAGCACTTTGCGTTTGCCAACTAATATAGGTCTTATTTTGCCCAGAAGATGAATGAACACTTAATTGAATAATTGAGCATTCATTCAGCTATTCTGTCAAATGCACGGACAGCTTCAATCGACACGAATATAGTCCCAAGTCGTAAAGCATGATAAAAGAATGGGGTCTATACGCACTTCATGTTCCCGGGAGGAACAAGGAATACTTCTTATTTCATCCACAACGAGCAAACAGTAGTTTTCATGTCAAGTCGACAATAGGTTCACTTTCAAACCTCTTTGATGGAAGGAGCTACCTTAAGAAGGGTTACAAGAGTTAAGTAAAGCTCGACCGATTGCAACGGATATGAGGTATCGAGTCACCATTCATCAGGCCTTTATGTGATTTGTCGTCTTTGACATCGGTTGGTGAAATATCTTCGAATCTGGTAAAAAGTTTACTCAAAATGCCTCTAGAAAGGCAAAAGCAGAGCAAGCATTTAGACAATTCAACTTCGTCCCGCTCTAGACCTCCTAGTAAGTACGTCCTCGCAAAGTCTTAACCAAGGTAATTGCACCTACCTAAGGGATGTATTGAAACCACATAAAATTGAACTTAAATTTCTTTTAATAAATAATTTATTTTTTTTTTTATGCAAAAATAATCATAATTAAAACAAAGATTTTCAATACGTTTTTTTTCTTTTTGGAATTAAATTTATACAAAGACCGGACAATTGTTATTCATGTTATAATTCATAATAAACAAAAATTACTAAAATTACGCGCCTAACAGCAAAATAATAAACAAAAAATTTTTTTTTAAATTTGCACATTTTTCTTTCTACATTTCATTTCAGTTTAGTTTAGTATGAAAAAAATTTTGTGATTTTGCAAAACGTTATAATTAAAACGCTATCGCGTTCGTACATGTTTCCTTTATATGTGTATGTTATTATATAATTAGCGAAGAGCCTTTAGATGAACGATGTATTTCGATGAGGATGTATAATTATGTGTCTGTCGTCGCTGCTATTTTATCACTAAAGATAGTTATTATAGTTGCCCTATCGTGAACTTGTGTATTTTTGATGCAACATTTTCTCAAAAAAAAAAAAAAAAAAAAAACACATCATAACATATCTCGTAACATATCTTTTTGGGTGGCAGTTAATTTTTCAGGAAATTGTATGTCGAAGGCCACCAGTAAATCACCTTTACGCGTCGTATCTTTGGGGAAAGGTAAACCGTAGCCCTGTATACGTTTTACTGTATTAGGTTTAATAATCTCTTGCATAGTACTGATACGGAGTCTATCACCGGACATGGTAGGAACTTGAAAGACCACTCCACACAGCGCCTACGAAAATGAAAGAAAATAGAAATAATTTAATCATTTTAAAATAAAGTATTGCTATCAATGTGTTCAATATATCTCGTTTATTTTTTTTTGTTATAACATTCTCTGTTTTCCCAGATTAGTATTTACTTTCTGAATGGCTCCGTTGCTGTACTCTATTCATCACATGCATAAGAAGAAAAAGTTATCTATTTTTCAAATTTCGCATGATGTAATGAAAGTTGTTGTTGTTGTTTTTTCACTTTTCTATTCTTGAACCGATATGTATCGTCAGTATATTATTGAAATTTGTACGATCTTGAACATTTAATTTTCTTCAGAATTTTGTAACAAAATTTTCATGACCAGACTCCCCTTGAGTAGATTTTGATCGGACCAACATCTCTCACACGAAAGCATTGCATTACGTTTCGATGACTAATTTAATCCTTAGTTAAAAGTTCCTAAACACGCAGAACATTTTTGAACTCCTCACAAAATACATTTTCCGCTTATGAGTTGGCTCATCGTATACAGCTCCAGTTAATTCAATTAAATCCGCGTGTGTTTCCTTTACTGAGAGAAGCCACCACTATAAATATCACAAGTGACTTAACAAAACCGCAATTAGAGGAAGAAAATTCAAGCTTAAACGACTTCGAAGTTAGGTTAGAAAGAGGTAACGGAATTATAAATCGTAAGGTTTACTTAGCGGATTTGAAATCCATGACATCTTATCATTTAAGACTCAAAAAAAGCATCAATCACACATCAAAAATTAAACTGAATCCCAATGAATATGTATATGCAAGAAGCTCAGTTCCCGACACCCGAAAAACTTAGATCGGATTACAGCGCACGTTTTCAGCAAATGCACCTTGCGTTATGGGACAGCGCTTAGCAAATTTAATTTCTTAGACGCCGGTTAGTGGGCACCGAGCAAGAGACGTAACATCAATTTTATTTTGCTGCAAACCTTACCTAAAGACTCCGTGCTGTTAGGCTGTGGCGAAGTGAATCCCGGACAAAATTGGAAATTTTTCAATTTATGTCAGACCGAGGAAATACTGAAGAATTTAAAAGTCAGGCAAAAACCGGATCATTATATTGAATTAATTAATTTTCTTAGCAACCGTCTGCATTTCCTTTAGTCTAAAAAAGAATCGCAAAAGGTTTCGCACAATCTTAAAGGAACCACTGAGCTGTAGTGATGATACCTGCATGCCTCAATTCGCCGGCATCAAGCTTTTCATGATCGCTTCTAAATTGTGTATTAGCCTTAGAAAGAGGTACAATATGTAAACATCGCAACAATATACACAAATAAGAGATTTCAACATTCGACCAAAACTAAAGATAATAACATTCCTACGAAAAATAAATAATACACACCCATCAATCATGTTTTACTGTTTTGACAAAACATACTCTCACGCTAGACTTGAAACCAAATATGTACCCAAGTCCGGGTATATGTGTGTAACCTAAAGTTAATTAAAATTTACAAATTACAAGTGACCAGGTCTTATTAAATATATGGCATACCTAAAATGTGCACACGCACATTGCAAACTAGGTAAGTCAAAGTGTTAATAAAAATTTCAAATTTTATTATTGTATATATAAACATTTATGATAACTTAATAGTATGGCACAAATTACCCGAAATGGTGTATGACATAAACGCATGACCAAAGACGAGCATCAGCTTATGATAGAAAAATAATGTAACACTTAAGGCTTGCGTAGATGATGCTGTGAGACCATTTGACTTAAGCATATGGACATATGAGTTTACGAAAATAACTAAAAGCCGATATAAAAAAGTGGTAAGAAAATTACATTGAATTACTTTAAATCCTGTCACTAGGCTGCGAAATCCATTCTTTCTTCTTCAAATAAATGAAAACTGAATAAATGAGAGTAAAGATAGCATTCTAAGGAATCCAAATCAAAGAAGCAAAAAACGCAGGTAACAGTGGGAATCATTGTTCTACGATATTGGGTATGTGATGAAGCAAACAAGTAGGGATTATATCATATCATATATAATGTTATTTGACATCTTCAGCGACATCATTACGCGAGCCATTTTCTCAGAGATGAAGGTTGCGTTCGAGTTAGCTCCATACCCAGGACTATAAATCCACCTCTGGTTTCATACCATGAGAGGCAAACAGCACGTAAAACATCTGGGCATACGTCCGTATACTTAATCTATTAATCTGGTACTTAATTTCTATTCAGTGGATCCTCCTATTTTCGTTAAATACAGATATGTAAGTTGTTCTGTTTTAAGGCCAAGCAATAAGAAAAGCAGCCAAATAGGGCCACATGCGAATAAATCTGTTTCAATGACCAGATCAATTCAAATTTGCACGGCAAATACATAAAAAAAAAAAAGCAGTAATTTTTCAGACACACACAACATTAATGCTTCCTCCTGAAACTTTTTATCGCGACATATTCAATGCAATACTGTAAGCGCACATAAATAAATCTTTAGCAATAAAGCTTTCGTTGATAGCAATGATAAAGATGCCTTTGATGATGATATTGACTACAACAACGGCACTTTGATGATGACTATGATGATTTCTGATACGCCAATGCTGCTTTTATTGTGATTGTTCAACAACGACATTGATGACAATTTAGTATTGCAGCAAACTAACGAAAAAAAAAAAATGCGAAAAGATACAATAGAACACGGGCAATAAAAATACTAAAAGGAATGTGGAATTTTTTTTTTTTTTTAATGCAACATTTGCATGCAGACTGTTACTGCTCTGCACGTGCACACGGATTATTTGAAATTATTTCTTTTTCCTTTTTTTTTTTTTATACCGTTTGGCTCTTTCTCAATGTAAATACGTGTTCCGAGCATCACTAAGTGACTCTTGCAATTTTTTTACTCGACATTAAAGCAATTTTTAAATACTCTTCCGATGTTTCCGCTGGCATACACAGTCTGCGCGTGTTCTTTTTGTAAAATACAAAACAATACATTTCACGATTGCAAAATCGCCGTTGTTAACATAAAGCCCTAAGTTTTCGTTTGAGAACAAATTTTACATTTCAAGTCATAAAATTCGAAAGCTTCAAGTACAATATATATTGCATAGGAATTTAAGATAAAAATACTAAATATGTTATTATTATTACATAATTATTTAAGCCTAATAGGACTACTAAAAGTAGGACCAGCAATATCAATTGAAACTATCGATTAGAGGGTTAATTACATAGAAAAGTAAAAACAAGAAAGAGAGTTATATTCGGTGGGGGCCGAATCTCACCTACCCATCGCTATTCTTTCGCATTCTACTCTCCAAGTTCTTTTATGTGATACCCATATCGCTGGTATTATTGTGAAAAAGTTAATCTCGGCGTCTATCGCATTCATTTTGAGATACAAAATAGTTTTAAACATTCTGTCTTGCTTTGCATAAAACCGCAAAAAAGTGAAAAAAATAAAATTTTAACGCTTGTAACCGTGTGCTGGCATTGCCCGTTGTTTCCATTTTAGAATATACAGAGCAGAGTGCTTCGTAAAGTAAACGTTGAAAATTTCAATCTTCTAACTTTAAAAATTTACGAGTAACGAGCAAAAATCCACAAATTTTTGTTAAGAAAAACGAAATTGCGTCCAGTTGACGCAATTTGGCCCATTTTCAATACCAATCTGCGGGCAGAAACTTCTAATGTTTCTACCACATTTGAAGTCGATATCTTCATTTTTGCAACCAGGAGAATGCCAACGACACACAGGCATACAGAGGTGCAGACGTAACTGATTCACTTTAGGATTTCACGCTGATCAAGAATATGTGTACTTCATAGAGTCTCTGAAGCTTGCTTTTCGGGTATTTCGGTTGGAAAAGAATGAAATGAATATACCCACCTTTTACAGCGGCGGGTATAACAAACAAGAACACTATAGTAGGATATATATACATATATATTTATATTAATGCTTAGTCTAACACGGTGCGAAAAACTTTTTCATAGTTTCCGAACTTAGTAATTTTTTTTTGCCATCAATTTTATTAATACGTAAGTTTCATACATTTCATACAATTTGCATCAATCACAAGAATGTTCAATCTAGCAGATAGTCTGAATACTAGAATTACCGGGTAAGTCATTCTGATGTTTCAAATTTTCAAACTTCAAGAACTTGATGATGACGCACGTTATGTATCGACATATTTTGATGACTGTCGTTTACATGAAAAGACTTTTAAATGCCTATGATCAATATTTCTCTATCTGTCCTAGTTTCCGGTATGCCGGCGACATATACCTATATCTACTAAAATGGATTATTTGGAGCCTCTGTATTTGTGCAGCTGTCATAGTCGCAAGTATCAGTATATGAAACTCAAATTCGATTAAGTTTGTGTGGATGTAAGAACTACATTCTTTTTCTTTTTTAAATCTTTTATTATGCCGATCTAACATTGTCTACCCATCTGCCCGTCTTTTTTGCTTGTGCTCAACGTACAGGTCGTAATTTTTAAATACTTTAATGAAGTTTGGTACACTGATGTGATCCATGTACGAATCCCCTCGAAAATGATTCAGATCGCGCCACTTCACGTAGTGCATTTGATTTTCAAAAACATTGTAACATACGATACACATGACACATACGATATGTTTATGTGATTCATGAATAGCTATAGGAATACGTAGGATTTTTAAGAGTGGGCCCTATCTCCTATAGTGTTCTCACTTGTTTTCCTGTAGAACTTTCATTGTTGAACTATGAAGATGTTTCCGAAAAACTATTCTATATATGTAACGTGATATGTATTCATGTACGAGCCAAAAATACTGCCGACCGGTTAATGATAAAATTTTTATTCTCGTTTATTTTCAATTTATCTTCAATTTATTCCAACTAATGCTAATGAATGCAACAAAGACCAACCTACTTCACAAGGACATAAATTCAAAATGTTCTTCTGAAAAGAAAAAAGAAGAATACTTGAGGATGTCAGATACTATTATGCTAA